GGGACTATGCCTTGGGAGAACTGCCTGCTGATATTTCTAATGGAATGAACATGGTTTGGTGCAGGAAATGTCCAAGCGCTCCCTGGACCAGCTTTTCCCTCTATTAAATGTGAGTTTCCAGTTTCCTCTCCATGTCTTAGTTGACTTTCGGTAACGACCCCCCACTTCTTTCCTCACCCCTGTGATTTGAAGGACCATCCCACGTGGCAGGTGTGGGTCCCCACATCTAACACCTCATGCTCTCCTCCACTTTTTTATTAAAAAATTACATTTATTGGGGTGACGTTGTTTAATCAATTATACAAGTTTCAAGTGTACAATTCTACTGTACAATATCCGTCTATTTTTACGTGATACCATATTATTTACTTTTTATCTCCGCATGGCCAGATGAACATTATTGAGTCCTTTCTTCTGTTCAGAGGACTTTTCCTGGATTCAGTAACTAAACAAATGGGAAAAATTAGATACAAACCTAGAAAAGAGAAATCCCAAATGATGCCTACGCCCCTCTCTGGACGTCACATCCCTTCCCGTCTTCATCAGATGTCAACTGTGCCATTTCCCCATTAATGATATCACTTGGATTCAACACATTAGTGTTTGATGGGACAGCCTCGTGCTGTGCTGCCTCTGAAAATCATCACTTTTTAGGATGCTCTGATCTGTGGCATTTGCCATTTTCTGAGTACATACAATACAAGAATACCATTCAGCCACAAAGAAGGCATTGGGGCATTGTGTTAAGTGAGACGAATGGGACAGAGGGAGACAGATACTGTATGTTCCCACTTATATGTGGAATATACAAATGCCAAACTCATAAAAACATACAGTGGAATGATCCTCAGCACAGGAAGCATAGGGGAATGGAAAGATGCTGGACAGAGTGCCAACTTCCAGCCCTGGTCAGTGTTTCTCAGTAGTTAGAGGGTCGGCTCATGCATCAAAGGGTCACGGGTTCAATTCCTGGCCCTGGTCTGGATGTGTTTGGGAAGCAACCAATTGATGTGTCTCTCTTACCTCTCTCTCTCCATCTATACTAATAAAAGGGTAATATGCTAATTAGACCAAACATCTTCTGGACATCCTTCCAGATAAAGCCACGGTGCCAGAGGCCAAGGCAGAGGCAGTTAGGGGCAATCAGGTCAGCAGGGGAGGGCAGTTACGGGCCTGTCAGGCTGGCAGGGGAGGGCAATTAGGGGCTGATCAGGCCAGCAGGGGAGGGCAGTTAGGGGGTGATCAGATCAGCAGGCAGGCAAGTGGTTAGGAGCAAGCAGCCCCAGATTGTGAGAGGGATGTCTGACTGCTGGATCAGGCCTAAACAGGCAGTTGGACATCCCCCGAGAGGTACTGGATTGGAGAAGGTGCAGGCAAGGCTGTGGGACCCCCCACCCCCATGCACAAATTTTGTGCACTGGGCCTCTAGTATAAATATAAGACACTGATTTTGACTCATAAACAATAAATGATTTCAACTAAAATAACAAAAAGCAGACCTTGTAGGTTATCTTTTCCTCTAGAAAATGCAGAATCCAACTGTCCTCTCTGCATTTTGTTTGGGAGGAGAGTGAAGAATATGCAACTGGCACAAGGCCTAATAGATACTAGCTGCTATAAAAGAGATGTCATATTTCTCCTGAAGATTGCTTCAGACTATTCACTATTTTTCTACATTAGCTTGGCCAGGGGCTGTTGAAAGCTATAAATGAAATAATTGATATGACTTTCCAATGACAGCAAATTATGTGGAAGTCCTTATGTGACTGTAGAGCTTAGGAAAAGTAAATGTGGTACTTTAAGACGTGAGGTGTGGTCAGTGACATGGTTCATGTCAAAACCTCAGCATCTGCTATTTTTAGGGTGAAAGGGCTGGTCCTCTTCCTGTGAGATGGGCACCTTGTGAACAGTACCCATGCGGTGCGGAGACACTGCCCACCACATCCTGGACCTTCTCCGCTTTGCTCAGCCCCTGCCTCCTGTTCGAGAGAAGCACCATGTTCCCCAAGTCCTCAGCCACAGGAAGTGCAGGTCAACAGAGACATCTCACAGGAGCCGAAACTGCGCTCAGTGTTTCTGAATGTTTGCTCCTCAGGCAACGACAAGAAGGCTCACTGTCCAGGATGCAGGAAGT